CAACCGGCCTTTTGAAAATATGTCAATGTCATGAAAGACAAAGAAGTGTCGAGGAACTGTTCCAGATTAAATGTGACTAGAGACAGGACAACTAAATGCAATGTCCCATCCTGGGCTGAATGCTTTAAAAAAAAAAAAAACCCACGCTATTAAAGACAGAGGCAGATGATGTCAGCTTGTTTCATGATTGGTAATGCTAACTTTGTTCACTTGGTATAGGATATTGACTAGGTTTATCTACTCTACGAAATTAGAAAGCCTGTGGGAGGTACTTTGAGTCTGTGTAAATATCCTGGTCTCCAAAAGTCTTTTATGCAATGATTTTAACATCCACTAATGATTCTCCTGTGAATCAATGATTACCATGGTGGCTGCAAAAATCAACCACCAAAAAGTGTTATTTATGGGAATAACGCACATGCTTTTCTCATATCATCAAAAATGACAGATATACAAATATATATTTAACCTGTCTCAGGAATTCGCTGTTTCTTTAGGGTCAGAGGGATTCATTCAGTCTACATCATTTATGGGTACATTATCACATGGAAGTTTATGAGCTCCTTACATTTGTTACTGGCCCTCTTGTGGAATGATTCCTGCACTCACACCTGTATTTAAACCACCTGGTGATTATGATCAGTCCTGATTATTCTCTGATTTAAAATCCAAAGATCAGTTTACTTGGCCTCTCCACATGTACCCACTCCTTTAGCCTCATCTCTCACCACCGCCTCCCCTCCTTGCTTTATGCTCCAGCAATGGCTGACTCCAGAATCGTTTCTTACATCACTGTGGTTTTGCACAAGCTATTCCTCCCACACATCTGAAATGAATTCCTCACTGCCTACCCTCTCACCTTGTTTGCTCAATGAACTACACATCTTTCAAGACCAAGCTAAGGTCCTTTGTGAGATCATCACAGGCAAAGTGAGTCACTCCTTTCCCTATGACACCACCGTAGTTTACGTGTCTATTCTAAGTTCATGCTGTAATTACTTGTTTTCTTTTTTCACGGGTTATGTCTTAATTATGTTTTAGCTCCAGAGTTTACACTGTTCTTGGCACATGGGTGATTCTTCAAAATTAATGTTTGCTGATGAATAACTAAATTATTTTGGTCTCAAAAAGTTTGCTTTTGCTGGCCTGTTTTTGGAAAATATCTAAGGATATTTTCCCAAATTATCCTCCAACTACTTCCAGTAAGGTTCTAGCTTAGTGGTTTTCAATTTTGTCCGTTCAACAGTACACCACCTCCCTCTTAAAGGAGCAGTTTTATTGCTTTTATTTCACTTCTCAGTATCTGAAATTAACTTCTTCGTTTGTTTGAGTATTCATTATATGTATGTAACACACACACACAAACACACACAAGCCAGCTCTAGAACAGAAGCTCCTTTTATTGTCCTCTTCTTATGGACAAATACTCCAGCTCATTCTATGACTATCAAACGATACAATTTCTGACGCTTTTAAAACCCTATGGATGTGTGTGCATACATTCATGCATTCCTGGGCACGTGGTCTATGCAGGGGGAAGGAGAAAGAAAGAAAAGTAATATAAAAGAAGATAAAATGCTGTGGACCATGAAGAAAACATGAAATCTTAAAGACAATTTTGAAGGTTTTCTGAAATTTGGTGAGATACTAAAGTTTGGGACAGAAGACAAAGTTTAAGAATAGCTAATCTTTTTTAAGTCTACGTAAAGCTAATCACTAGGATTTTATTGTAGACTATTCTAAGGTTCTACTAAAATGTTTTACAAAGAAGTACTTGAGATTTCCAGGAATTTTACCATAACATTTCATTCTATTATAAACAGTATACTTGCTGATATAAGGTAGTTGATGTTCTGCCACAATTTATTGTTTTCAGTGGTACAGAGTTAGGCTTAACTTTACTGTGGAATCTAAACATTCTCCTTAAATAGACCTGTATTTTGTGCTGTTTAGAGGTGTTAGAGCTATACAAAATTAAAGATCAAGGAGGGGAGCATTTTGAATAAAAAGTCTTCAATACATAAGAACAGAATCACCGCTTCTTCCTCCTTTTCTCTCTCCATGCTTCTTGGTATAATATGGGAATTTGTTTTTACAAATGTAGGCTTTATAATGGGAATGTTATAATGGGAATGTTAGATGAGTGCAAATGGAATCTCTAAGAAGACCATTACTTGAAGGATCTCAAATGGGGGTGATTTTGTCCCCCATGGCATTTTTGGCAATATTTGGAGACTTTTTTTTTTAAATTTAATTTTTTGGATTGTTACCACTAGGGTGCTATGGCTGACATCTAGTGGGCAGAGGCCAGGGATGCTGCTAAACATCCTACAATGCACAGAACAGCTGCCCACAACAAGAATTATGCAAATGTCAAGAGTGCTGAGTTTGAGAAATTCTGCCGTAAGATACAAAGTCCATGCTGTCTTTCACAACTGACTATAGGACTCACGGATCAATGTTTTATGCTGTGTATGAGCCACTTATATATCCAGCACATGCAGCTCTGGTCTCCTTTGGAATGATGATCCATCTGGGAATGTCCTCTGTTTACTTCTATACATTTAACATGATTTCTTGCAACTAAGAATCTATCTAGAGCAAATTAGATTTTCTAGGCACTTCACCTGCTTACAGTTTTGAATATGAAGAGATGTGCTTTAAAAGATGAGAAACACACCAATGCATTCACTACACTTTCAGTTATACATAAAAGTTTGTTAATACATGATTATGAGTTTAGTCAAAGACCTTTTAAATATTTTGGTATATTTAATATTTTAAATTTAAATGGTTTGGATACTTTTCAGTTGTTAGAATCTCATGTGAAAATTGATTTCATTTTTAAAATAAAACGACACAAATCTCTGTTTCTTGTGCTTGCGTCAAAACTATCATTTTAGCACTGATACTTCATGATTTGGGAGAACAATAATAGAATTTTGTATTGGATCAGAAATATAAGTTTGGTTTTAATAACTTATCCTATATCCAACCACTCTGGTCGGGAAGACACAACTCTCTCAACTCGTCTTGCTTAACATTAAAACAAGCAAGCAAAAATCCACAAGAAAACATATATTCATCTACTTGCTTCCTCTCACCAGCACATCTTCTTAAACACCTTTTTATGTTGTTCTGTACCTTCCTCCCCCAGTGTCTTCCAGCTTGGGCTTCTTGTTCCTTTTCTTTTTTCTAACCATTTTATTTGACATTTGTATTTAATGAGCTTCACTGGTATTATGAGAAAATCAGTGGGCACTATTATTGCCTTTATTAACTAATAAATGGAATCATTTAAGACTGATTTTACATGGTGATACTTATCTACATTAATCTTTTTTTCTTTTGTTTTTAACTGCACTTCTCAGTATAGCGGTGGTGAACAGTTGAGGTTTTTACATTAGTTGAATTTGTGTTCATGTTCCACCTCCCACTTGCTAGCTCCTTGACCCTGGGGAAATCACCTGCCTTTCTCTGAGCCTCTCTTTCTAGATCATTACACTGGGAATAATAATTGTATCTACCATGGGTGTTTTTGTGAAGAGTAAATGAGATAATGTTGTGATGTTCTTAGTTTAATAACGATTACTTAGTAAGTGCTTAGTAAATATTAGCTATCAATATTCTTATCAGTAACATCATAAGCATATTAAGGAACATTTACTATGGTTATTATTAAAGACACACCTGGGAAGAGAAAGCCATCAGGAAGGATAAGCAACATTCTTTCTGGATTTTTACTGTTTGGTTTTGGGCAAAGAATAATAAACAGCTCTTTATTTGTGAAAATAATGCTTAGGTTTGTGTTCTTGATATGAAATGCAAGACATGAAATTGAGACATGCAATAAAGATATGTACTATTTAAGACTAAATGGAAGGAAGACCAGTCTGATTAAAACTATTTTTTAAAAAAACCCAGAAATAAAATAACTAGAATAATAGTGTCTATTCTTATTCATTTATGCAAGACTAGTAGGATCTTTGTTTTGGTGACTAAATAAAAATATATGTAGGATTCATATCAATTGTATTATTACAAGTAGTACATTTACAAAGATCAGCATATTAAAAATTAATAATATTTAGTTAGCATTTACTATGTACATTGTATTCAGCGTTTTACATATATTACCTAATTTAATATTTCTTAAATCATATGAGTCAGGAATGCTTTTTTAATAGCCATTTTACAGAGGAAGTAACTTGATTAGTACCAGTCTAATTGCTTTAAGTAATAAACCAACTCAGGAGCAAACAGATAATTGGTACAATAAATAGTAATATCCTTTAGCTTTGATATAACTTAACCATATCTGTGTAACTTTTCTCTTTCACGAAATACATTTCATTCCTTTAACCATCTATTTTATTTATTTTAATTTATAATCAATTCAAAATATCAGAGTAATCCAAGTTCAATTTTATATTTTAGTTAATAACTTATTTGAATCATTGAGAGTTTATTTTTTTTTTTCAGGGTTAGAATATTTATTATTACTAGTCAATCAGCTTTTCTTCAATAAGAACATTTTGTCTTTAACAATATGTTCTTAATTATTAGTTTGGACCTCCTAGATGTTACCACTTTCCAGGATTCTCCCATTCAAAGGCTTTTTGAACTTAAGATTTCTTAATCTGCTATACAATCTTTAAATAAATGCAGTTCAAAATTAAAATCATTTTCTCTTGCTTTACTTACAATTCCCATTTGTTCTGTTATCTTGCTTTTTAACTCTACTTTTATTTGAGAATTGGCACGTTTTCACCTGGATAAAGCTAAAGGGGGAATCTCTCTAGAGGTGTACGACAGCAAACTACTCACAATGACAGGAAATGTGAACTAGAACAAAGGTCATGGAGGTTTGCTTTCAACATTATTTAGACGTTTTTCACAAATGGGAGAAAAGTAGAAGGAAAATAATTTTGTATTATCTCAATTCATTCCCTCATAGGAGTTCTGTTTTTTACAAAAATAAAGTGTCTTCATATACTGACCTTGGATTCATCTAATCCAAGCTTCTTTAGAGACTTTCTGACATAATCCAGAAAGGAAGAGGATTTGGAATAAATTTTACCAACATGCTGATCACTGCAAAACAAAATTGAATCTCTTTTTAGATTTTCAAAAATTAAATTAAAGATGATTTAAAATTCAATCATGAAATACTTTTAAATACCATCTGTGTATATGGTACAAGACCTAGATGTGATAAAATGTAGCAATATTTCTGGGGCAGGCCCCGTGGCCGAGTGGTTAAGTTCGCGCGCTCCGCTGCAGGCGGCCCAGTGTTTCGGTGGTTCGAATCCTGGGCGCGGACACAACACTGCTCATCAAGCCACGCTGAGGCAGCGTCCCACATGCCACAACTAGAAGGACCCACAACGAAGAATACACAACTATGTACCGGGGGGCTTTGGGGAGAAAAAGGAAAAAACAAAATGTTTAAAAAAAAGAAAAAAAAATGTAGCAATATTTCTGTCAACATTTTTTATTTATTTTTTTGAGGAAGATTAGCCCTGAACTAACATCTGCCGCCAATCCTCCTCTCTTTTGCTGAGTAAGAGGGGCTCTGAGCTAACATCTGTGCCCATCTTCCTCTACTTTATATGTAGGATGCCTACCACAGCATGGCTTGACAAGCGGTGCGTGAGTCTGCACCCAGGATCCGAACCAGTGAACCCCAGGCCACCAAAGCAGAATGTGTGAACTTCACCACTGTGCCACTAGGCCAGCCCCTGAACATCTTTAAGCCATATATTATAAAGTTATCAGGATCTCCTTCTGAGAATTCCTTTAACATACAGCAGTGGAAGACAATATTATGAAGATGATACCATGAGAAAGAATTTGTAAACTCACAGTATTAAAAAGCCTCATATTTGGAGATGTGATCATCATGGCAGTGTGAGAGGATCCTTTTGTTTCTCTCCTTCAATCTACAGTGAATAAAACATCCATAACCCAACAAAAGCACTGCACAACACACCAGGACCCAGCAAAAGCAGTGTACAACACACCAGGATGCCAGAAAGATCCACACAATGGTACATACAAAGGTGGGTGAACTGGAGCACATAGAGGAGGATAAGTGGGGAAACAGCAGAGGCAGAGCCCAGGATCCTGGATCCCAGCTGCAGTGGCTAAGCCAGCCATCCCAGCCCCAGGGAACTCGGTGGGCAGCAGCAGAGGCGCATAAGCAACTCCAGCCAGCCAGCCACGGTGGTGCCTGCAACCTAGGGAAAAGGAGTAGCAGCGGAGGCAGAGGCCCATGATCCTGGCCCCCCAGCCTCAGTGCAGAACCTGGTAGTAGCAGAGGAGGTGTGCACAGAACTCTGACATCCTAACTGCAGGGGCGGGCGCCTATGACTACAAGGTAATAGGCAACAGCGGAGATGGTGCTCCAAGTACTAGGCTCTTTGCTCACATTCTCCCGTCCCCCAACCAAAGAGGCAGAGATTCTTATCCTGGATGGAGCTGAGGCATCAGCTATCCCTGCCTCCTGGCGGCAAAGCCAGTAACACTAACAACAGCAAGGCATCAGTGACCCTCAGAAGCACAGGTAGTGATAACAAGAGTACCGGGGACATCCCAAATAGAAGTGGTGGAGGGTAGAACGTGTATATCCTCAAATATAGCCAGAGGAAGTTCAGATAAGAGAAATCAAAAACTGGTGCTATAGTGCCGCCTAATAAAAAACAAAAGAAAGGCTTCTAACCTCCAAGCAGTTGAAAAGTTTGAATCAAAACAAAGCTATACCTAAATAAAAATCATGCTTGCTACAACCAATGTGCCAGGAGAGGAATAACTCAGCAAGCACCACAAAAAGCCACAGTACCAGGGAACTACAAAAAGAAAACAATTCTCCAGAAGCCAAACACAAAGTCATAGAAGATTATCTAACTCATAAAGAATTCAAAATAGTTGTCATGGAAAAACTCAATGAGCTACCAAAAAAACCCAAAAAACAAAAAACGGCAGATCAATGAGCTCAGGAATAAGATCAATTAATAGAAGGAATACTTTACCAAAGAGACTGAAACTCTAAAAGAACCAAACAGAAATTTTGGAGCTGAAGAACTCAATAAATGAGATGAAAAGAACATTAGAAATCATTGGAAATAGAGCAAATCATATGGAAGAGAGAATCAGTGAGCTCAAATACAGAAACCTAGAAACAATGCAGGTTGAAGAGGAGAGAGAACTAAGACTTGAAAAAAACCATAGAAATTCTACAAGAATTATCTTACTCCATTAGAAAGGCAACATAAGGCTAATGGGCATCCCAGAAGGAGAAGAGAGAGAGAAGGGAGCAGAGAGATTATTTAAAGAAATAATAGCTGAGAACTTCTCAAATCTGGGGAAGGAACTGGATATACAAATCCATGAAGATAATAGTATTCCCAATTATCTCAATGCAAAAAAGACCTTCTCTAAGACACATGATAATAAAACTATCAAACATCAATGAAAAACAAAGAATACTAAAAATAGCAAGGGAGAAAAAGAAAATAATTTACAAGAGAATCCCCACCAGGCTATCAGATTTCTCAGCAGAAACCCTAGAAGTCAGGAGAGATTGGAAAGAGATAATCAAAATATTGAAAGATAAAAACTGTCAGCCAAGAATATTCTATTCAGCAAAGTTACCTTTCAGATATGAGGGAGAAATAAAGGCTTTCCCAGACACACACAAAAAAAGCTGAGGAAGTTCATTACTACTAGACCTGCCTTATAAGAAATGTTGAAAGGAGTCCTCCTACCTGAAATGAAAAGGCAAATGTATACAAAGCTTTGAGCAAGGTGATAGATAGAAAGAACCAAAAAATGGCAGATCTCTATCAGAATAGTATAGTAAACACTAAACTATAACATAAAAATTAAAGGGAAAGAAAGCATTAATAATAACTATAACCACTTCCATTTGGTAGCAAACTCACAATACAGAGACGGATAATTTGTGACAAGAAAAACATAGCAGGGGAAGAGGAAAAGGACAGAACCTCCATAGGGAAACGGACATAAGAGGCTATCAGCAAAAAAATAACTATCTTATCTATGAGACCTTTTATCCAAACCTCATGATAACTACAAAATAAAATTCAGAACAGAGTCACAAAACATAAAAAAAGAGGAAACTGAGAAATACATCACACAAAACCACTGAACTGAAGTTGCAGTCATAATTATATACAAGGAAAAAGAAACAATGAAAATATAGACCAACCAGAAAACTAAAGATAAAATGGCAGTATTAAGTCCTCAAATATAAATAATCACCTTAAACGTAAATAGACTGAATTCACCAATCAAAAGAAACAGGATGGATTAAAAAACAAGACCCAACGATGTGCTGCCTTCAGGCGAACCATCTAACTCTAAAGACAAACATAGGCTCAGAGTGAGGGGATGCAAGATGATACTCCAAGCAAATGGCAATCAAAAGAAAGTGGGTGTAGCCATACATATATCAGACAAAATAGACTTCAAGCTCAGAAACATAACAAGCGACAAAGATGGACATTAGATACTGATAAAAGGGACAATCCATCAAGACAATCCATTAATGACAGTACTATCTATGCACTTAACATAGGAGCACCATATATAAAGCAATTATTAACAGACCTAAAGAGAGAAACTGACAGCAACACAACACTGGTAGTGGACTCTAATACTCTATTTAGATGAATGGATTGACCATCCAGATAGAAAGCCAACAAGGAAACATCAGCCTTAAATGGACCATTAGACCAGACGAACTTAACAGATACATATAAACATTCTATCCAAAAGCAGAATACACATTCTTCTCAAGTGCACATGGGATATTCTCAAAGACAGACCATATTCTGGGAAACAAAACAAGTGTCAATAAATTTAAGAAGACTGAAATCAAATCAAGCATCTTTTCTAATCACCATACTATTAAACTAGAAATCAACTACAAGAATAAAGTTGAAAAAGTCACAAATATGTGGAGACTAAAAAATATGCTATTGAACAACTATTAGATCAATGAAGAAATCAAAGGATAAATCAAAAAATACCTGGAGACAAATGAAAATGAAAACACGACAGACCAAAATCTATGGGATGCAGCAAAGGCAGTTCTGTGAGCTAAGTTTATAGCAATACAGGCCTACCTCAAGAAACAAGAAAAATCTCAAATAAAACACCTAACATTACACCTAAAGGAACCAGAAGAAATAACAATGAAGCCCCAAATCAGTATAAGAAAAGAAATAATAAAAATCAAAACAGAAATAAATAAAACAGACACTGAAAAGACAAGAGAAAGGATCAGTGAAACTAAGACCTGGTTCTTTAGAAAGGAAAATAAAATTGACAAACCCTTAGCTAGAGTCGCTAAGGAAAAAAAAAAAGGAAGGCTCAAATAAAGTCAGAAATGAAAGAGGAGAAATTATAACAGATACCACAGAAATAAAAAGAATTATAAGAATACTATGAAAAGCTACATGGCAACAAATTGGATAACTTACAGAAATAGATAAATTCCTAGATTCATACAACCTTCCAAAATTGAATCAAGAAGAAATAGAGAGTCTGAATAGACCAATAACAAGTAAAGAGAATGAAACAGTAACCAAAACCCTCCCCAAAAACAAACGTTGAGGAGGACATGGCTACTCTGATGAATTCTACCAACATTCAAAGATTTAATACCTATCCTTCTGAAACTCATCCAAAAAACTGAAGAGGATGGGATGCTTCCTAATTCATTCTATGAGGCCAACATTACCCTTATCCAAAACCAGACAAGGAAATCACAAAAAAAGAAAAGTATAGGCTAATATTGCTGATGAACAGAGATGCACAAATCCTCAACAAACTATCAGCAAATATAAAACAATATATTAAAAGGATCATATACCACAACCAAGTGGAGTTTATTCCAGGGATGCGGAGATGATTCAACATTCAAAAATCAATGTCATACACCACATTAACAAAATGAAGAATAAAAATCATAGGATCATCTCAGTAGATACAGAGAAAGCATTTGACAACACTTTTCATCCATTTATGATAAAACTCTTGATAAACTGGATATAGAAGGAAAATATCTC